TTTTTTTTTTTTTTTTTTTTTTTTTCACGAGACTCATTATTAATTTAATAAAGTGATTTTTATAGCCTTGTAATTAATTTGAAATATACAGATTGTGTATTTTTTTGCTTACTTTTACGTCCTTTTTCCTGCACTAAGAAATTGAGGTGCAGAAAAACGTCATTACAGCTATGAACAGGTGCAAGTTTTTTGCCTTTTATGAGTCTTGAAGTCAAGATTATTGATGTTGTGTCCCTAATAATACACGGTTCTTTTGGTATTCTTCATCTGTAATTTAGAATCTTGGTTTTAGTCCTTCAGAAACAGATTAAATTCCTTAAAAGTGTCATACAATGTTTTCGTTTTTTTGAACTGTCCTTTCTCTTCCATTTTATATTAAGCAGAATGGGACGAAATTATCTGCCTTTCTGAAAAATCTAGGCCATAATCTTCATGTTTGATTATATGAAATCTTGAAAGAAATTCCTTAAATTGTTCTATGTTACGCTTCATTTAACTAGCGGACTGCAGATGTACCACTTGTCCTGTTCAGTATTGCGGATCGAAGCAGATGGATCATAATCCTGTTAAGCTACAAACAGGAGAAGTATTTTAAACCTTCGTGAAAAATAAAAAAGACAAATTGGACTGTACTTTCTATATCTTTCGGAGCCTAACTAAATTTTGTATTTGAATTACATCTTTCATGTTAACTTTTATTCTCATCTATTCTACTTTTTCCTTTTAGTTTTCCCATGCGCTAGTTGACTTCAGGCACACCATCCAGTGCGGGCGTCCATCCTCTGCAATTCATGTTACCAATTCTGTCAATGGTATCAACTTTGTGAGTGCTTTGTTTTGATACCAAATCATCAACTGAAACTCCTCCTTTTCGTAACATTGCTTGCAGGTCTTGTTTGCTGATGACAAGCTTAATCCTCACAACTCCGGTTGCTTCTCCAGCTTCTTTGACTGAATCTGCAAAACGAACAGTCTTCTTCTTCTTAATTCGCGGTGAAGCCACTGGTAGAGGCAGAAGGTAATATAACTGACCCCCTTTCATTTTAGCATTTGGATTCATGTACTGTACTACTGGAAGTTTATCTGATATTGCATGGTGAGAAAATTCTGATAAAACGTGATGAACTTCTAATGGGGCTTTGTATTCAAGGATTTTCCCATCTATTTTTATGACTTTGATAACCTTTTCCTGAAGAACTAAGCAATTTCCCATGGCTCTGTGAAACTTGGTTAAGGGAGAATGTTTTGTATGTAGATCAGAAGTGGCTTCGAAGCAAGATTTGTGGGAGTAACTTCGGTTTATTTATAAGGGAAAAGGCCTAAAGAAAGCTCTCAAGATTTTTGAATATTACAAGAAAACCCAATTGCACTTTGGGGCCCACCTTTTGATTTTTGTTCTTGTGTTATGATCATGAGTGGTGATCACGGTCCATCTTTAAGAGTCTAAAAGTTTGCAATGGAAATTATTGAAGTTATAGCTAACCTTTTAATAGTGCTAGTCAGGGACGGATCCGGGATTGAATTCAAGATCGGGCTACAAAATTTCAAATCGGGCTACCATGCACAAAAAAAAAAAAAAAAANTTTAACTTAATCGTGGAAATTTTCTTGTTGCACACAACGAAATCTGAACCAAGGTATTGTCTCTGGAGAAGTATATACAAAAATTTAATGAGCTAATGCCATGGTGTCCAACCATGGAAAGTGCACGGAGTCAACTGCTTGCTTCATGGATGCCACTTGAATTCAATTCCTATTGGAGACAAATAAGCGCGTGTATATCATGTACAGATCATTTGAATAATTTGTCAAAATAAAAAATATATATCAGAATTTGTAATAAGTTTTTCTTTATTTAAGAGTCATACTTATGTAGAGTCATTAGCGTTGGAAATGAAAGTAATTTAATTAGTTTCCATGTTAAAATTTGGTATTCTACAAGTTTTGAGACTTCTAGAAGTCTTTGAAACTTCAATTGGATTTTGGAATTCTATCAAAATTTTTATGTAAGAATTCTATGTTAACATGTGAAATTTATTCTCTGTGTCTTCTTCTTACATTAATTGTCTATAATTAACTATCTTCGTTAGAATCTAAAACACTTGAAACATGTTTTTCTGGTTGTTATATTATGAAATTATGTCCATTTTCCCTTTTGTGAGTGCATATTGACCATCACCATTAAATTATATTTTTGAATAGGCAGGAGCTCATCACTTCACGTTTAAGTAATGAAAATATTTGAGGACAATATTTCACTCGATAGGGATTCTGACTTCAGTTGTAATGATGATATCTTGAACATGGTGGGTCTCTATCCTATAGAGGGGATAAAGTTGCTGATTTCCATTAAAATATGTGTGTGTGTGTGTATTATTTGCCTTCAGAAAGTATTTAGAATGACTACAAACTAGTACATTTGACTTATGGGTGTCTTATAGAGTTGAAAAAAGTTTTATTTGAATCTAAAAATACCGTCGGGACATTCAATGTATGTCATCTTTAGTCTTCTATGTAAAATACGATGTAGAGACCAGAAAACTGTGAAATTTAATTAATTTCCACAAGTTCGATTGAAGAGCTTCTTGCTGTTAAATACAGGCAGTCCTTTGGAATCTAGTGAATCTATTAGATGTTCATGAATTAAAATCATAGCTCACTGGAGCTTGTTTAATTGCTCTTTTTAGTTGAATATTACCTAAGATTTTAAAAAGTTTCTGAAGTTCTGTTCGATTTCCTTACAATCAGTTGTGTACTGCATATATTGAATATATAAAAGTTATTTTATTCAAGTTTCTATAAGTATTTTATTTCATATTTCCAGAATAGATAATTTGATTGTTTAGCATCCTAGACAACTGAACTGGTCCTTTATCATTCTGTATAGCAGATTCAGGAGTTTTGAATTGCCAGATTTCATTCGACTGCGTATTTTCGAGTAGATAAAGTCACATGTTGAAGTTTCTGTTCTCCCTTAGTTTTTGAAATTCCCCTGTTTAGTTCCCCATTATTTCCTCATTAAAATGAAAAATATGATCGTTATCCATCACATCAAGCCAGCAAATTTGAATTTCTATCTCTTGCGTGGGGTCCGTAACGGCTATATATTTCATTTTCATTCTTCCAAAAATGAGAAAAGACGGGGGGCGTATATTTTCATTGTAAATACAGAATAAGATCATCAATTATATGCAAAAATTATCTATTTGTTTACCTTTTCTACTTCCATCAGAAATCACTCTAAACAACTAACAGGTATTAAT